CCGCGTGAGGATCTGCTCGACCATATGTGACTGCGTCAGCGTAATGGTGCAAGCTGCCCTGTCACTGGTGATCTGCAGGCCAAGGTAGCGCTGCAGCTCTCCAAGGTCAGCGCACGGAGGCCAATGCGCGTCGGTCGGGAGTGGCGAACACCGGGTCATCAACGTAGACCAGAACAAAGAACGGGGTCGAGCCACGGCAGACGAACAGCGACGGGTTGGCAGAAGACGGAAAGAAGTCAAGCGCTGCAAGAGTCGTACTTATCGTGTCATGCCAATCGCGGGAGCCTGGCGCAAGCCGTAGACCAGTTGACGCAGCTGCCACTGGGTCCTAGGAGGGAAAGAGCCAGTGAAGCCAGGCGGACGACGCAGCCAGATCTGCTTGCGCAGGCTGCCCTGACGGAACGCAGTGGAGAAGTCCAAGGAGTGCAACTCGTGGTCGCGCTGTGCTGCAATATGCAGCAACACCCGACGAGTGGTCACCTTCAGGGTGGGAGCGAAGGTCTGAAAGAATTCTACCCCCTCTCGGTGACTGAAGCCTCTCGCCATCTAGCACGCCTTGAACACAGGTTGTGCTCCAGGCGGCCGCTTCACCTTGTAGAGCCACATGCCACTGACAACGTTCGCCCCAGGTGGTGGGACGGCGTCGACGTAGGTGCCTGTGGACCTATAAGATGCCATCTCTGCCTCCTCAGCTACTAACCAGTATGAAGCCCAGGGTTTCGAGACCGCCTCAGCGTGATTACGAGGGATCGGGATGTCAAGGGCGTCTGGATCCCCATTAGGGGCAAGCAGCATGGCGTAGAGATGAGGAAGAGCGGCCGCACGGAAACCAGGCTTGAATTGCCTGTCCTAGAGGACCTCCATGGGAAAAACAGGAGCACCTCCAGAGAACGGAGAACGAGCAGGTCCATTCACCAAGTGAGCGGCGTAGTCAAGGCGGTGGGAAGAGGCAAAGCCAGCGACAGTGGTAACGAGTGCTGAGACAGACGACAGAGGTGCAGTCGGGTGCGTGACCAACGCGGACAAGACACGGGAGACAACAAGACGAGAGACACGGAGGTAGTCGGACAACGGGTCGTGAAACATAGTGAGGGACGACTGAGGAGGCTATGGAAGAATAGGAGAAGGTGGAACACGATAGTGAAGAACAAGATGAAACGGGCCGTCGGCACGGTAAAGGGACCGGCGAGGCTCTGGGAACACAGCACGACTGAGGGGAGAACAACGATTCCACTGGGACGAGGAAAGGGACTCGACAGGGGGAACAGGAGTGGACGGTAGGGGATCACGAACAAAGCGTGCAGGTGCTAAGTCGGGCAGGTCTCTAAGTCGCTGCTGCTCTGCCTCCTCTGGCGACTGCTGTTGCGGCACCTGCCCCCCATGTTGCTCCCGCAGATCCTCCTCTCCTATATCCTGCTGTGGCTGCAACAACACCTGCTACTGCGGCCGGGAATCTTGCTCTACCCTCTCATGCTGTGGCTGCAACTGCACCTGCTGCGGCAGTCGTGACTCCTCTATTCTCTCCTGCTGTGGCTGTGACTCCTCCTCTACTCTCTCCTGACGCTCCGACTGAGACTGCTGCTGCTTCTGCTGCCATGACTCCTCTACTCTCTCCTGACGCTCCGACTGAGACTGCTGCTGCTGCTGCTGCCGTGAATCCTCTACTCTCTCCTGACGCTCCAACTGAGACTGCTGCTGCTGCCGTGCCCTCTTAAACTGCTCCCGCTCCTCCCTCTCCAACCCGTCCAAACGTTGCACTCGGGTGAAGAAATGTACAGTGCGCGGCGTAGGCGTTGGTGCTCGTGTCTCTGGCTCCAGCACCCCTAGAACCAAAACCTCCACCGACAACACCCCCAAGGACTCCAGTGCCTCCTGCAGGAACACCCCCAGGCTCCGCAGCGTCCGGCCGCGGAGGCGAACGAGGAGGGAACTGCGGACGGGAAGCCAGAGGATGAGGCGGGGCGAGGCCGCTGAGTCGAGACAGCCATGTCCTCCTTATGAGTGGTCTCCACTCTCACACACCTTGCACCCCCAGAGCTGGCACGACAGGCTCCAGCAGCCCCAGTACCCTCACCCTCTGCAGGGGCTCAAGGGTGAGGAACAGCGGGAGGGGAAAGACCTCAGAACCTCGGTGGGGGCGACTCCTGTAGTAACTGACCGACTCGTCGAAAATGACGTTCTGAGAGGCAAAGAACTGGTGGGTGAGTGGGTTGTAGAACACCCAGCCTGAGGCATCGTGTGGGAAGCCAAGAAAGACGCAGGCACGGGTGCGCGCAGACAACTTGTTCGCGCCAGGGGCGCGAACGTGAGCTAGACAACCCCAGATGCGGTAGTCAGCTGCTACGCCCGGAAAACCTGTCCAAAGGAAGACCGGCGTCACCTGTGGCCGTGCGTTACTAGGTCACGGTTTAGCTGGTGCACGGCGTAACGGACTGCTTGAGGCCACAAGAACTTGGGGGCACTGGCATGGCACATGGAGGTCCGGGCAACCTCCATGACTAGGCCGATGCGTCACTAGGCTACCCCGTTCTGTTGTGGCGAGTCTGGTAGCATGTAAGACTGGATGATCCCCCGACTCTGACAGAACGTCTACAGGCAAGTGGAAGAAAACTCATCACCACGGTCCGAGTGTAGACGGAGCCCACACAGGCCCTAGACGCCACCCCTCGCTAGTACCCACGGCTCAAGGACGGTAGGCACGTCGGCCTTCCGTCGCAAGGGGAAAACCGTGGTGTAGCGGGAGTAGTCGTCCACCACAATCAGGAAGTAGCGCTTCTGATGTGGGCCAAGGACCGGGGAGGGGCCCAAGACGTCCAAGTGCAGGGTCTGTAAGGGAGCCATGGTGGGGGGGAACGAGGAGTGAGGGGCAGCGCGCTACCGCCCCTCGATGCAGGGAGTGCATGGCGGCGCACAACACAGAAAATAACAATTTGACAAACGGTTGTGCCAAATGTGCGATGCCGACCTTGTGCGCACGTGATGTTGCCGTGTAATTCAGCTTCGCCAAAATTTGATGGACAACATTTGCCCATCCCTGCAAAACTTCATCAACCAAGTCGCCAACACTTTCAGGTCGGCGTCCGCAAGTCGGTGTCACATCGTCGAACAACTTCGTCGGTGGCCAAATCCACTTCGTTGTCCTATGCCGTGGCCGGCTTCGTTGAAGTCGACTCCGTTGTGGTCGACTTCCCCGAAGTCGACTAACCAACAAGCTGACTATCCAAGTGGCTTGCTCTTCCAAGTCGGCTAACCAAATCGACTTGGCCGACCACTCAACTCCGCCGTTCCTAAAAGTCGGCTCCGCCGTTCGTAGAAGTTGGCTTTGCAATGTTCGGCTTCACCGAAGTCCGCTAACCATCAAAGTCGGCTCCGCCGAAGTCAGCTCTACTGAGGTTGGCCAACCAAGCCGACTTGCCCCTCTAAGTCAATGCCGACCACGACGCGTAGCCGACTGCACACCGTAGACGTCGGTCAGTGACGTCGGCTTTACCCAAGCGAGGGCGAAGACAAATCTCCGATGAACAATAAGAATTGGATACGATTTGGGTACAGATCAAACCTAAAGACCTGGAGGGTTTCGTGTTTATGGTTGATAATTTCCAAAACGCGTCCAGCTTCCCTAAGGGTTTTATTTTCTTAGGCGAGAGTTATATCACCATTCGCGCTATTCTCTGTCAGGTAATGGTGGTGGCTGATCACGTAAAACCACTTAATAGATGCACAAGAACACCCTTTTGACTGACCGTTCGCGAGTTTGTTTCGAGTGTTGTCCAGCCCCTATTTTAGACGAAGTGTTGTTCAACCACTTCATCAGGGCCTGTGCTAGGATTTGGGGCACCCTGAGCCCTCAGGGCAACTTTTGAAAACTTTCCGAAATGCCCTGATTTTTCAGGGCAAAATTCCCTGGCCATCCTGAAATTTCAGGGCACCAGCAGAAATTCATCTGGATGCTTCAGGGCAAAAAAATACAAGACACTAGAGTGGAAGGGAAGGCACGAAAGGAGCAGGTTGTTCAATGGTTTCACTTCTACTGGCTGAGCATAAACTTTGGAGGGGAAGGGGTGGGGACAAAACTAGCACACACACCCCCCAGCCTCCTTCCTCCCCTCTCCCCCTCTTCCCCCTCCACCCCTTCTCCCCTTCCCACGAGTCAGGGCATCCCTCTACATTCACCCTAACGCTTCAGGGCAAAATTTCACTGCCATTCTGAAATTTCAGGGCAAAACAATTGAATTATCCTGACGTCACAGGGTAAATTTCAGCGTCATTCTGAAATTCCAGGGCAAACATAAAACACCGTCCTGAAATCAGGGTAATCAGGATGTTTTGCCCTGATATTGTAGGAAGTGACTTCATATTGTTGTCCAGAAGTTTTTGGGTTGCGAAGCAACCCTATATAATTGGTTTCACTTTTTGGGGATATCATTTCAAGAGTGTTTTCTTAAGCACTCTTTGATGCACCCGCTTGAACTTTTTTGCACCTTGTTCAAGAGAATGTCTCAAATAGTGGATAAAAATCACTCGTGAATGAGATATCCTGAAAGTGAAACCAATTACGTATCATGTTGAAACTGTTGGGAATAATAAGTCTTAAGCGCCTCTGTCGTGTCGGAACTCAGGACACTAGCAAAGCAGTCCGAATCGAAGCATCGCGAGTCAACCCTCGGAGGTTAGGGTAACCGCCTGGAGGTTACGAGGTCAAAGGTCAGCGACCTTTGACTTGACAAATACAGCGCGACAGCAAGGACACACAACTGACTCGACATTGAGCAGTTGCCCGAGTCGCACTGTATCGAATCGCAACAGTAAAACGGTTTTAACTTATCTATTCGTATTCCTTGTACTCTTATATAAACCTTTGTATTTGCTTGTTTAATCAACTTACTTTGCCCTCACATACTAGCGCAAGGTGGTTCAAGTACTTTCATTCAAACGCTTCCGCTACTACAATTCTACTCAGACTTAAACTCTACAAAGATCCTAGGGCACTTCAGCCCAACATGTGTCAGAATATATTTGCTGTCTAGCCTGCAGTGGGGTACTCTGTAATGAGTACAACCCAATTTAGGGCATTGTACTTGTATCCCAACTCTTGCTAGTGAAACTCTCTTCTTCTCTTTCTAAAATCTCTCGATACCTTCCTCCTCACCCTCGAACTCGATCACCTAGGCACCTAAGTTATGGCTTCTAAGCCTACCTCTACTTAAACATTTTGATATGGTATTAGAGCTTAACGCTCCTGGCCTGTGGGCCCACTCGATTCCGCTGCCATATTGTGTGTCATGCGCCCCGTGGCGCGCGACCACCTATTTTTCTTCCCGCCACGCGCTCGGGGCGCGTGGCGGTTTTCTGCCCGCCGTGCGCCCCGAGGCGCGCGGCGGGTACCTACCTCGTCGCGGCGTCTTGGGGGCCCGCGCGCTGGCCCCGACCGTCGCCTCGTCGCGGCGTTTTGGGGGCCCGCACGCAGGTCCCTCCCTTCTCCTCGTCGCGGCACTTTCGGGGCCCGTGCGCCGGCCCCTCCCGTTACCTCATCGCGGCACCTTAGGGGCCTGCGCGCGGTCCCCTCTTGTTGCCCTTCGAGGCACTTTCGGGGACCTGCGCGGCTCCCTCTCACGTCGCCCTTCAGGGCACAATGGGGGCCGCGCCCTTCACCTCCCCTACATCCTACTTTCCGCTGCAACAGCCCCAGGTGCGGCCACCCACGCTGCACCAGCCCCTGGAGCAGCCACAGCCGCCCCAGCAGCAGCCCCTGCAGGAGCCGCCGCAGCAGCAGCAGCAGCTCCAGGAGCAGCCGCCCCAGCAGCAGCCCCTGGAGGAGCCGCCGCAGCAGCAGCAGCAGCCCCAGCAGCAGCAGCCACTGGAGCAGCCGCACCGGCAGGAGCCGCCCCAGCAGCAGCAGCCCCAGGAGCAGCCGCCCCAGCAGCAGCAGCCCCGGGAACTGCCGCCCCAGCAGCAGCTGCCTCTGAAGCGGCCACCCCAGCAGCAGCCACTGGAGCAGCCGCACCAGCAGGAGCCGCCCCAGCAGCAGCAGCCCCGGGAACTGCCGCCCCAGCAGCAGCTGCCTCTGAAGCGGCCACCCCAGCAGCAGCCACTGGAGCAGCCGCACCAGCAGGAGCCGCCCCAGCAGCAGCAGCCCCCGGAACTGCCGCCCCAGCAGCAGCTGCCTCTGAAGCGGCCACCCCAGCAGCAGCAACCTCTGGAGCCGCTGCTACTGCAGCAGCCGCCCCAGCAGCAGCAGTCCCTGGAGCCGCCCCAGCAGCAGCAGCCCCGGGAGCAGCCGCCCCAGCAGCAGCTGCCTCTGGAGCGGCCACCCCAGCAGCAGCAGCACATGGAGCAGCAGCAGCAGCAGCAGCCGCCCCAGCAGCAGCCGCCCCTGGCCCCTGCAGCAGCCGCTCATGGACCAGGTGCAGCCGTGGGGGGTGAGTGTGGGGGTGCTAGTTGTGGGGGTGTCGGTTGTGCGTGCCGTCCCCTCCTCCTCCTCCTCCTTCGTCTCCCACTGCTACAGCTCTCGCTGAGGGGGGTGGATGTGTGGGAGACTGGGGTTTAGGGTTTAAGGGGGGTGGGTGGAGCTAGCGGTATAGCAGCGGGTGTGTGTCGGGGGGTGGGACTGTGTGCGGGAGGATGAGCGGAGGTTGCCAGTCTGTTGTCCGCAGCACCTGTAGTCCGGGCGCTTAGTCCGGTAGCCCAGTGAGTTTGTTGCTGCGCTAGTCGCCCGAGGGTCCGTTGCCCGTCTGCCGCCACTTGAGCCGCGGGGCCTGTTACTCCTGTAGTCCGGGCGCTTAGTCCGGTAGCCACTGTGCTCGCCACTCCTGTTGCCCGTGTGTCTGCAGCTTCAGCCGCCGCCTACTATCTCCTCTCCTCTCACTCTCCCTCCTCCTCCTCACTTGCCCGTTGTGACTACCACTAGCTTTGCTGATAATTGTGCACTTTAACTATTGCTTCTTGAACTTGTGCTCAGAATGTGTGGTGACATTGTGATCCACCCTGAGCTTGTACTGCTTTGCCTGCTCTGCTGATTACACCCCACTTTGGCTATGGGGGTGTGTCAGAATATATTTTCTGTCTAGCCTGCAGTGGGGTACTCTGTAATGAGTACAACCCAATTTAGGGCATTGTACTTGTATCCCAACTCTTGCTAGTGAAACTCTCTTCTTCTCTTTCTAAAATCTCTCGATACCTTCCTCCTCACCCTCGAACTCGATCACCTAGGCACCTAAGTTATGGCTTCTAAGCCTACCTCTACTTAAACATTTTGATAACATGGTATGAGAGCAGTTAGAGTTTTAAAGATTGTTTTCCTTTTAACACTCAATACAAGAAGACATGTCTGCAAGGAAGGAGAGGAGCTCCTCCAACGGCTCTCCAGGCACTACTCCTACTCCACCTCCTGTCTCTGGTCTACAGACAGAGGAAGGGACTACCACGAGACCAGCAGCTGGGTCTACGGAAACGCCCGCAGGCTTCGATCCAAGCATGATGGAAAAGTTCTTCTCCTTCATGTCCTTCTACGAGCAGCACCAGCAAGGAGCACCTGCGCAATCAAACAACAGCAACAACAACAACAACAACGTGACGCCTATGAGTCTCGATGGCTCATCCTACGCACGCGGGATTCAACAACAACAACAACAGCCTACGTTTGCGCCATACGAGCCCCAGCGTGGCTCCGTCAGCTTCATGCCGCAACCGCAACCTGCACCAGGACAAGAAAGGGCATTGGATGCGTTACAAGTTCAATCGCAATTCGCGCATGTCTTAAAACTACAAACGACAAAGCCTTTCGACGGCAAAGATTTCTTCACCTGGTCGTTCGAGTTTGAACTGATGATGGAAGGAGCACAGATTCTCGGCTTCTTCGACGGGTCCCTGCCATATCCAACAAACGGGACGCAATATGAGAAGCAGCAATATACTTATCAATCGATGATGGCGTACACGATACTGCTGAGGAATATCACCCCGACCCAGCAGCAGAACATCAGGACTTACCGAGGCTACGGCAACTCCGCGGAGCTCGCGTACAACCACCTGAAGAACCTGTATCAAGCAACAGACAGCGTAAATCAAAGCAGGTTAATGGCGCAGCTGACAACGATTGAAATGAAACCAGGCGAGAAAGGCATGGCTTATATCAGCCGCTGTCGCGAACTGCGCGACAAGCTTCTTCGATGCGGCGGGTCGATTTCAGAAGACGCCTTTGTCACGGTGGTCATCGGCGGTCTCGGCCCCCACTGGCGCTCCACTCGCGCCATATTACGAGCACACGGGAGGATTTCTGAAGCGGCACTCTGCGCCGAAATTCATGCTGAGCAGCAAGACATGGACCTGCAAGAAGAAAGACACAAGAAGAAAGCATTAGCACCAGAGTTTGCGTTTCACACTCAGCGACGATACAACGGCAACAACAACCGTCAACAACAAGTAAAGACAGTACCTCCGTTCTGCCACATCTGCAAGACTTCGGGCCATCCTCGCACGCACTGCCCGTCTCGTCAGACAACACCACAGCGACAACTCCGGCCTTCAAGCTCCCAAGTTGCTTCAACGCAAGCAAGTCCGACGACCACAATCCAAGCTTCAACGACTTCAACTGGACAACCTGCACAAGGAACAAGAAGCATCGTCAATTGCATGGTGAAGATAACCGATTCGTGCACAACCAAGTCACCACCCCACTACTCACCGGAAGAAGAACTCGACAACAGGACACCTTGCCGTGAATCACTCCAGCCGAATCCGACGTACGCCGCCATCGCTCAAAGCGAACCATCTGGCCAAGACACTTGGTTCTTGGATAGTTGCTGCGGACAACACATGTGCTCCTCCGGGCGCTTCGTTCAACGCGAACATCGACTCCAGCGAGAAGTAGTCATCACGGTCGCCAACAATCAGAACCTGCGCACACGACGACAAGGAGCGGTACAGCTTCAGTCACGAGAAACAAATGTCATATTACACATGTCAAAGGTACTTATCGCGGAGGGACTAGGCTACAACTTACTGAGTGTCAGCCAGTTGATGGTGAAAGGCATCCACTTGGAAGCCGACAGCACCACCCAGGAGTTTAAGTTATACCACGAGAAGGGCGGCCTCTACATCGGAAAAGTAGTGTTGAAGAATAACGTCTTCGTCCTCGATTTCGTCCCCGACCTGGGCACTGCAGACAGCGACGCCATCGTCAACTCCACCGACTGGACTCATCCTCCGGATCTTGATCCCGACTTCAGCCCAGGAGGTTTCTGGTACTCGCACACCATCCCTGAAGCAGAACGAACACGAGCATTAGCAACGATTCAACAAACGACAGCAGCAGAGACAACATCGACAGCAGAAGAGACAACATCGGCAGCAGCAGAACCATCATCGGCAGCAGCAGAACCATCATCGAAAGCAGCAGGACCAACGACACCAGTCATCGAAACACCACCACCTGCACAACAGCTGAACCCGACTCAACGAGAAGTCCACCGAAGCGCAAACATCGTCGCCAACTTCTACTCCAACTCTGACGCGTATCAACGCTCACCCGGACATCGCGCTCCTGAAGACATCTGGCACGCACGCACAGGACATCCAAGCAATACGGTGTTAAACAACACGATACGAGCAGGAGTTCTAGACAAGGATTCGCTACTACTACTCGACGGCAGAGAACTTCAACGTGCACGAGGGACTTGCCTCATCTGCCCCGAAGCCGACTTACCCCATCGACCGTTTTCCTCTCACCACAACCCGAGCGCACCTGCATACGCACCACTCGAGAAAGTTTACAGCGACATCCTCTACAATCGAGAACCAGGACAAGTCACCTACAATTACACGATCACCTTCATCGACGCCGCCACTCGATACGTCTGGCATCGCAACCTACCCAGCCGCGACATGGCACTCGCAGCATTCGCCGCTTGGCTACCGGTAGCAGAGAGGGAATCAGGAACACAACTGAAAAGCTTCCAGTCAGACGGAGGAGGAGAGTACACCTCTCAGCGCTTCAAGCAGTACCTGGCGGAAAGAGGGATCAAGCAACTCCTCTCCCTTCCCTACGCACATCAGCAGCAAGGAGTAGCAGAAAGAATGAACAGGACTCTGCAAAACAGCATGCGCAAACTGCTACGTGGCATGCGGCTACCCAACCACCAGTGGCCTGCAGCAATGGACCACGCTGTCATGCTGCACAACTTGTTGTCGTCGTCGTCACTCCCGAACAACGCCTCACCGCATCTGCTGTGGACAGGGAAGCTGGGCAGCACAAAAATGTTACGAGTTTTCGGATGCATGGTACAGTACAGACCCCCAGAAGCACGAGCGGGAAGATTTTCACAACGGGCACAGTGGGGACTACACCTCGGCATCGAGAAACATTACAACGCGTGGAAAATCTTCGACGTCCACACAAAGGAAACAGTAGCAGCACGTGATGTGATCTTCTACGAGCGACTCACCCTTCAGACGTACCTCGCCAACTTGCACGAGAATCGGGACCTCACAGGTGGCTTTCGTGGTGACCGAGCCTTCGCCTCAGCAGCGGACGAAGCAGACTGGGATGAACAGAACGTCGACAACGCATCGGAAGAAGCCGGACCTCTCCCGTACTGCTCCGTCGACGTGCCCATGGACGAAGAAAATCCTTGCGACAGTAACAACGCCGAAGTCTTCTATCACTTCGCCGACAACGGTTACGTAACACCTGCGACAGTCAACACAAATGAAGCAGAAAGGATAGGGCCAAATTTCATACCCGATCCAGAAGCAGGAGACGAAGCAGCTTATCCAGAGGATACAACACTCCCCCGATACTCACAGACTGGGCTGCAAATCCTTGGTCTCGTCACCGCAGTCCACGGGAACACAGGCAGCACGCTTCCTAAAGAGCCTGCGACGGTTCAGCAGGCTCTGGGGGGGGAACACAGGGAGAAATGGCGTGAAGCCATGGACAGGGAATTAAAAGCATTAGAGGAACGCAACACCTGGAAGGTCGTTCCCGCAAGTGTGGCACGGAACAAGACCATTCTCACCGGGAAATGGGTCTTCCGCATCAAGACGAAAGCTGACGGCACAATCGAGAAGTTCAAAACACGCTGGGTCGTGCGTGGATTCGACCAGGAGCAAGGACGAGACTTCACCGAAACATTCGCCCCAGTCAGTCGACATACCTCTCTCCGAATCCTTCTCGCCGTCGCCGCCATGAAGAAGAAGAAGCTGCGACAAATCGATGTTGCCAACGCATTCCTCTACGCACCCGTCGACGCCGAAATCTTCGTCGAACTCCCACACGGCACTCACGGAAAACCTAATCAGATCTGCCAACTACTGAAATCGCTCTACGAATCAAACAAGCCCCGCGACTGTGGCAACAGCACCTACACACCCGCCTCACTCGCATCGGATTCCGCCAACTGCCTCACGACCAAGGAATGTACCGC